ACGAATCACTGTAGGGCAGGTTTCCATACGATGACCATATTGGCCACAACCAAAGCATATTAAATGAAGACCCTCATATTCCACTCTTTTAATCCTTCCATCTAATTTGTACTCAGCTTGTAATGGTTTACTCAGATCCAGTACAACACATAAACGAGCAAATTGTCCTCTATGAAGAGTATTTGTTGCAGCATCCACCTTTATGAACTTTCCCAGCGAATCACCTATTTGTTCAATAAGTTTCATCTGAACATACTCCACAGGAAAGCTAGGTAACCTTACCCAAGCCGCGATCTTGTCAATGGTAGCCCTATAAGGCTGAAAATCTGGTTCCCATAAACGCATTGCTAGGTAATGATCAAGAATGATCCAGGGTCCCGCAGTTAATGCAAACTCCATGTCAGATTTTTTTTCAAACCTCACAAGTAAATAATCGTTATCTATATCTGTAACACGAATATATCCATCCCTAGCCCACATCGCCTCCAGTCTTTTCCTCATAAGATTTAGAGAAATACTCTTCCCTAACAGTTTTACAATGAGACATTGACTCCAAGATTTCCACGCTCGTTTCTTGAAATTCTCTGAAAGTTTGAAGTTGGTACGTCCATCTCCATCCACTTCCCAAGATATCTCAGGTGTACTATCCTTTTCTCCTTCATCCTCAATCCTTTCTTCCTCATCTGGAACGCTAGCTTCTTCCTCCATTAAGATTCTCTTCTCCTCGTTTTCTGAATATTCTCCATTATGTTCCATCAGGATTTCTCTATACGAACGTCTATCCTCCATCCAATCCTCCACTCTAGGAGCCAATGACTGATCATTACTGAATGAACCTCACCTTTGTACTTCTTTTTGGTTCGATGAAGGAGATCCCTCTCCTCTTTTGATAGGTCAGCGTCAGCGGCAGGTTTTTCCATGAAACCCTAGCAGAGCACAATACAATAGTAAAGACCTATTTTCAGAATTTTATTATTCATAGTCATTTTATTTTAAATGATACAAAGTTATGTTCTTTAAAATTATAAATATTTTAGGCTATCATTTTATAAACATTTTTTTCTTTATAAAAATATCATTCTAAATTTTCATATTTACAAAATTGTCATTGATAAAAAAAAGCAGTTTTTTTGAAAACATCCATAGATTAATAAACGTTTTTGTATTCCGGTTTTGAGAATTATTTTTTATAACAATTTTTTTAAATAACTTTTTTATTTTTAAAAATTTAAAATTGTTTTTAAAAGTAGAAATTAAACATGCCCATAATTCATTTATGAGATGTTTTACTTAAATTTATTCGTGATACTTATAGTAAATGTAGTTGTAGCCACGGCTCAGGTGTTAGATTAAATAATTTTTGATATGGTATCAGAGTTTTACTTATCACAGGGTCACTAGTTCAATTCTTATCATCCCTACTTTTTAGTCAAATTAAATAAAAAGTATAAAAGTTAAATAAAAAAATTGAACATATGGAATATTCATGCTTCAAACTCAAAGGGATCTTACATAAAAAATATGTTAAAGGATAATATAAATTATTAAAAAAATTATCATTCAATACCTTAAAATTTTTGATTGAAAATTTGAAATAATTGTTTACAACCCACGTCAATTTTGTTGCGTTGTATGTCTCTGTGCCGCTGCTCTCTTGAAGAGTTGGTTTCAACTTTCAAGCTTCAACACGTTTTGGATGCTACATAATTGAGAGTATTGAATATATTTAATAATGCATGTAAATAGAAAATAAATTTTATTTTTTAATTGATAAGGAGAAAAGTAGGAAGATAGATTGAGAATATTAAATATAAAGAAATTAATGCAGAACCATGTTTTTAAAGAAGAAACCGCCAGTTTAATGTGGGGGGGGGGGGGGGGGAATGTGAGGGGATGGGAACTTATTATCTTATTTTTAAGACGGAGTACTTTAATTTATTATATAAAGGAGAATTATTTAATATTAAGTAAATTATTCTATCCACTTTTCATTTTGTGTTTGTTACATAATTTTTTTCATTTCTAAAATTTTGCTCATTTATTTTTTTATAATTTATAAATAAGTTATGGAAAATAATAATCTCATATTGTAAAACACTAATATCTTATGCCATAGACACATTGATAATTATGTTTTCATTTTTTTTAGTGATGTGTGTCATAACATAAGATATGCTATCTCTTACAACATGAGAGTAGATAAACTCATAAGTTATACCTGATTCTTACTTTACATGCTATTCTTCATGAATTCTTTAGTCAATAGTGTAAATTTCTTTTTTATACCGACTCTAATAATTATTAATTTTGAAGAAAATTGACTATTTGAGTATCTTCACAAATTTTAACTTTTTAAACTGATTATGAAAGTAATCCACACCCTCCTTGAATGATTCAAATGGGTGGTGACACCCTAAAAAAATATAATCCTAATAAAATAGCTTTTTCCATCTTATTAGTATTATTTATATTTTATAATTACTGAAATTTAACTCGTAGTGTTCCTCAAGTATTTTATTACTATTTAATTGAGTAGGGCACGAATACATGCTTCTCCACCGGTCCATGCTTTGCCTCAGTAACCCTGATGCATTTTCGTAGCTAGAAACCGTGGAAGAGAGTTGTGTCTCCATCGTAGGATTTTGGAAGGAAATGTTTATTAGTCTCCCCATAATTGTGCGGTTGTGCCTGTCTCCCATGTAGCTAGAAACCGTGGATGAGAATTGTGTCTTGTGTCTACCCTTACTAATGTATATAATTTAGTTGAGCACAACATGCAATTAATACTTTGAGAAAAAAATTTATTCGGACTAAAATAATTGAATCTTATGAGAATATTCGGATCGATTCATCTCAAAGAAACATTAAGGGGGTGTATTGGATTGAGATTTCAAAGGATTTTAATGGATTATTTTTGGACAAAAAAATCCATTGGTATTCATTCAATTAGGATTTTAATGGATTGAAAATTTTTTTACGTGATATTCAATTAGAATTTTAAAATATTATTTTAGAGTTCGTCCAAATTCGTTGGTATTCAATCAAGATTTTAAATAATGGAAAAACAATCTTGTGAGTGTCGAGGTCGTGAGACTTTTTAGTAAGAAATATAAATAGGATATCTCTTTCACAATCTCACCATGCCTCTTTCACAATCTCACCTTAACCCCTAGGATTTCTTGAGATTTCTCTATCGCAGTGTTTTCTTCTTTCTTTGGCAAGTTGACCCAGTTGAAATTAGATTCCGCCATAGCAGCTTCGTCAAAACTCAAAAATAGCATATTTTTGACCGATTTTCATCACAAAATAACCCAGAAACAACAAACTAACGAAATTCTAATATAATGTATCTCAAAAACAGCATATTTTGAGAAATTTTGGAAGTTTAAAAAGTGATTTTTCAAATTATAGGTCGCGATTTTTCTTAGCACAAAAATGTGTGATTTTTGTATTAAAAATAACATAAACCAGTGAAAAATAATAGGGGAACTAAATCTCTCAAACCAATTTTTATTTTACATCAATGAAACAATATCAATTTAAAGAAAGATTGAAACTTTCATAATATGAATCATATATTTCGTAACAATAATTCATGAACGAAATTCTTTCACTATAGGAAACAATTTCAAACAATTTTTGTGTTAATAAACAACTAAAAACTTGTTTTTGAAAAGCCCCAAAGCAATTTAAGGTTTTAATGTATCGATTGAAAAAAAAATGAGAAATTTTCTAAACTTTCATGTAATAAAACCTAAAAATGCAGATTTGAAATTTTCTTAGAATATTCAATGAAAATATGCATATGATATATGGTTAGAAAACTCTCACCACGTAGAACAAAAATTCCAAGGTTTTCAAGATCAATTGCAAAAAATTTCAAACGAAATTTTATCATGAACTTTAGATTCTATATGCAAATTTATAATTATTTTAATAATTAAAAAAATTGGGTCTTATAATCATATATGCATAGCTTTGATACCAAATGAAAAAGATAATTTTTAACCCATTGGTTAAACTCAAGAGCATGAACGAGAAAATGTGAATGAATGGAGAACTAGTATAACTTTAGATATGTGAAAAGTTGTTGCTTCGTAATTTTGAATGTTTGTTAAAAAGTATATTATGTTTTACTGATTGAGAAAATTATATTAGGTTTTACTTTTTTTTATTAATTTTATTGCATTTCTTTGTTATTTTTTTATTGACTCTTGTAATTTTGAATTTTTGTTAAAAAATCATATGATTTTTTAAAATCTTATAAATTCATATTGTCCTTTCAAATCTTATAAATTATATTAAAATGCTTTAAAATTCAATCTTATGAAATATTGATTGTGACAAAAAATCTTTTAAAAAAGTCTTTAAAGTCCCTTCAATTCTAAATAGTCTTTTAAAATCTATAAAAAAAATTATCTAATTTTTTTTTTAAAATCCTAATCCAATCCCCGTAAATAGAGAAGATTTACCTAAAAGGTCATAATAAGATAAGAATAAAATTCCATTTCGAGATAAGAAAGTCCATATGTGTTCCTAATTTAATACAATTTTTAAATACTATTTGAGAATTTGAACCACAATTAAAACAACTTGTAGAGAAGAAATAGAAAGCAAGTGTGAATAAAATTAGAAAAAAAATCTGCAAAGAAAAATGTTAATAGGAAATGAGTTATTTAGTTACCGTATGCATAACAGAATAATTTTAAGAACATATATTCATTAATATGAAATAAGGGTAAAAGTTAAACATTAAAATGTTTAATAAATATTTTAACATTATAAAAAACTTTAAAATAAATATATGTTCGGAAAGTATAATAAAGAACCAGAAAAGAACATTTTCACCCGAATAAACAAAAAATATGGATGGATCCTTGAGGATGGACGGGCTAATGGGCGGGTCGAGCCCAATTTGGATTGAGATTGAAAATTGAGGAGTTGTGATTTAATCCAAGGGTGAGAAGAGCTGCGTTAGGTTGACGCGGAAGTAGGCTCTCGAAAGTCGAAACCCAAAAATTGGAACCCTTCTTCGTAAATATAAACCCTCTTCTCTTGTTTGCATATTCTCATACTCATTCCCTCTCCATCCACAATCCACATCACTCGTTCTTCTTCTCAACGAAACGACACCACTCCACTCCGCATCTATGGTACGCTCTTTCTGCTTCAACTTGCTTTTCACTTTTTTCGTTTAGCGTTTTGTTTAAATTTGATCTTTCTTTCTTCTCTTTTTGCGGTGCAGGCTTTGCCCAATCAGCCAACCGTTGATTACCCCAGTTTCAAGCTCGTACTCGTCGGTGATGGTGGAACTGGTGAGATTTTCTTCTTTTCTGATAATAAAACAGAAATTAATTCAATTATTGATGTGTCTATTGTTCATTTCGTAACGATCTTGATCGGTGTGGTGTGGGCTCAGCGTTTTCGCCTTATACATCAATATATGAACCTTTTTGTGCTGAACATTTGCAGGAAAGACAACCTTCGTGAAAAGGCATCTTACCGGTGAATTCGAGAAGAGATATGAACGTAAGATTGATTTACAATTAATGATGTATATGTACATGTTCATGTTTATCGTTTGTTTAAAGTATTCATTATTTTCATTTTGTTCAACACAGCAACCATTGGTGTGGAAGTCCACCCATTGGATTTTTTCACAAACTGTGGCAAAATTCGCTTCTATTGTTGGGATACTGCTGGACAGGAGAAGTTTGGTGGTCTCAGAGATGGATATTAGTAAGTGATTTCCACGAGAGAGCCCTTTTTACTTTAGTTTCTAACTTTTGCGTCTTATGATTAGTGTTGCATGCTGACCAATTGGCAATTAGTGTAATTGATTGTGTTTTGTTAATCAAATGTCCTCTTGACTTATTTATACATATCATGCATGATATTTCATCTATTGCTGAAATTTTAAATGTGTTTTATATTTAATTCTTAGAATCAGATTTCAAGATTTTGAGCTTTTCTTTTGTTTTTATATACTGAGCTTTCTCCAGTGCATTTTTCGTTCTTGCAAGGATTAGTAGTTTGGTATTGATGGTCATCAAATCATCTGTCTTTGTTTTGGTACCTATATCCTATGACAGCTTGAAATATGAGATTTTGAGTTCTTTTATCATATTGTGCTACCAACACATAACTTGATTTCCAGACTCACCTTCTTTTGTATGGATGTTAAATGTAGAATTTGTTAATTGTCAACATTTATAGCTGTTCCTTGGTCTCGCTGCCATGATAAAACTCTCCTTCACTTTTTGTTTTTGTACTTTGTTTTACTTCCTATCCAGTTCTTTTAACATGGTGTTTTGTATTGCAGTATCCACGGGCAATGTGCTGTTATAATGTTTGATGTTACTGCCCGATTAACATACAAAAATGTCCCTACCTGGCATCGTGATCTTTGTCGGTGTGTACATGAAGTCCTTGAAATTTTTTTTTAACTCTTTTGTCTCTAATTATTCAGCACCAAGTTGTTTATATTACATTATTGACGCTTTCTGCATGATTGATTTTCAGGGTCTGTGAAAACATCCCAATTGTTCTTTGCGGTAACAAGGTTGATGTGAAGAACAGACAAGTGAAGGCAAAGCAGGTTACTTTCCACAGGAAGAAGAATTTGCAGTACTATGAGATATCAGCTAAGAGCAACTATAACTTTGAGAAGCCTTTCCTGTACCTTGCCAGGAAACTTGCAGGGTAGGTACCACTTATTTCTACTTCGATCATAAGAACCAAAAACACATCAAACTTTTTAAATGCATTTCAACTAATGTTTTGCTAATTGGGTCAATTCTGCAGCGATCCCAACTTGCACTTTGTAGAATCTCCTGCATTGGCTCCACCGGAAGTTCAAATTGATTTAGCTGCACAACAACAGTAAGCTATCTGTCATGAACTGAATTATTCCTTTCTCCTTCAACCGTAAGCCTGACTTATGGCAGGCATGATAATAACAGATAGATCGTAGAGATACAAAGTTGCATTTTGAATTTTAACTGTCTTCTAATAGTGAATTTCACAATCATGATGAATTTTGAATTTCTATATTATTTTAGTTTCTCCATAGTTACAGATGGCAAAGGGAGGGGAATGGGAAGGGACAAGTGACTCGTTCCCATCATTTGGACGATTTTTATTGAGTGGGAAGATGGAAGGAGGGGGAAGTGTTCATCCTCCTACTCTCCCCTTGTTCATTTTAAAATTCTTTCCCCTCAAGTTGGGGCGTTAGAGAGGGGGGGGGGGGGGGGGATTTTTTGTTTTAAAATGAACAATCCTCGTTCAAATTAAACATCGAAATAAGGGAAATTAACTGACTACCCCTACAATTTCTTTCCTCTTCTCTTCTCTCTTCATTCTTTCCCTTTCCCCTTACTTTGGAACATTCAATCATGTACTCAATTAAGTCCACAGAATCCATTATTTGTTTCATAGAGTTTTCGAAGTATTATTGTTCTCGTCCAATTGGTTGTTTCATATCCATTATTTGTTACATAGAGTTTTCGAAGTATTATTGTTCTCGTCCAATTGGTTGTGTTCCTTTTAAATTTTCTACAATTTATGTGTTGGTTGCTTTTGCAGGCATGAGGCTGAACTTGCTTCAGCTGCTGCTCAGCCTCTTCCTGACGATGATGACGATGCATTCGAGTAGGACTTTGCGTCTGGGGACCATCTTCCTGTGTTGCTGTTATTGTGTATGCTACAATATATATGTTTTTTGGGGTTTGTGTTATTTGAAATTTCTGGATGTTGATTTGAGGATCTGTATTCAATTCCTATGAGATGTTTTGCTTAAATTGAAAATCTCACTTGTTAGCCATATCGTTTTCGTCATGGGCATTAATTATGATGTGTCTGTGTGACTCGTCTCTCTTGAAGAATATTATAATCAACTTTCTATATGTCTTCGGAACCTAGATATCTTTTATTCTAAATGATAATTAACTACTCCAAAATGAACTGCCGTTTCTGAATAATAAAAAAAACATTTTATTGCGTTATTGTCATGTGGATTTTTCTTATTCATATAAAAAACTCATTTTATTTTATAAATTTGTTTTCATTAAATAAAGTTTTATTAATAACTTTATGAGGGAGTGCTTCCCATTATTCTGTTAACCTTTGTTCAACGTCCAGTGTTAAGACGCGAGTTTTTTTTTTTTCTTTTTTGTTAATCATTCAGAGTTCATACTCGAGTTTCCATAAAATTGTAAGTTTTTGGGAAGAAACTCTAATTTTAATTTTAATTTTTGGAACGGATTTACTTACCATCGAAAAAGTTTATCACTCTTATAACAAATTTAATCGTCGTTGATTTTTGTTAATTTAACTGTTATAATTTATCGAGAATTAATAATATTTATTGAGTCATATTTATTAATTAATTATTAATTTTTAATAAATTATAATCGTTCGATTGACAAAAATCAAAGGTTATTAAATTAGTTGTAAGAGTAGTAAATTTTTTTGGTGGTAAGTATACCTGCCTCATTTTATAATATGGAAAAAAAAAATTCTCTCTAATTTGCTTTAGAATCATTTAATTCTTATATTTTTTATTTATCACTTACGTCGTGATTTTTTTTCATCCAATCGATTAGCATGCTTAGAAATTAAGAGTGTGCATGGTAACCATTCTGTTCCCTGGCACTGTTTCTGAAAAGAAACAATTCTTTTCTATTTATGTGCCTTGGAACAATTTCTGAGAAAAAAATGTGTTTGATAACATATTTTATTTTTATTCCGAGAATGAAAAGTGCGTTTGATAACACAAAAAATGATAGAATAAAAAATCATTCCTATTAAGCATAAAAAAATTTCGGATCATCACTTTCCTTTTCATATGGTGTAGTGGTGATGATGGTGGTGGCGGCGGCAACGGTTGTAGTAGTGGCGTTGTGGAGGTGGTGGCAGTAGGGATGGTGTCATGGTGGTGGTAATGGTGGTGGCGACGGTGGTGGCAATAGTGGTGATGGTGACAGCGGCGACGATGGTAATGGTGGTGGTAGTGGTGTGGTGGTAGCTACGGCGATGGTGGTGACAGTGATGGTAATAGTGGTGATGGTGGCGGTGACGTAGAGATGGTGGTGGTGACAGAGTGGCCGCAGCGATGGTGGTGGCAGTAGTGGTGATGGTGACGACATGGTGGTGGTGGTGGCGGTGGCGGTGGCAATGGTGTAGTGGTGGTGGCAATGACGTGATAATGGTAGTGGTGGTAATGGTGGCATAGTGGCAGTGGCGGCGATAGTGGTGGTGGTGACGGCAGTGTCTGCGACGATGGTGATGATGATGACATGGTGGCGATGGTCGCGGTGGTTGCGGCAACTGCGATGACGGTAGTAGTGGTAGCGTGTTGGTGATGGCAATGACGACGACGGTGGTGGTGACAGTGAAGGTAATAGTGGTGGTGGTGGTGGTAATAACGGTGGCAGTGGTGGTGGTGGTACGACGATGGTAGCGGTGGTCGTGTTGGGATGGTGGTGGTGGTGGTGATGATGGTAGTGGTGGAGAGTAATTGAGAGAGATAAGTGTTTCTCATTCTGTGCCCAGAATCAAAAAAGCAAAAAAATTTTGATTCTTTTTTCTGTTCCTCAGCACAAAAAATAAACCGGTTCATCCCGGGAACAAAAAAATAAACTGATTTTACCAAACGAGTTTCCTATCCATTTCTGTTCCCGGGAACAGAAATTTAAAAAGAATTGATTCCGGGAAGATTGTCATGCACACCCTAAGAGTATCTGCATATTTTGCACTTTAAAAAACAAAAATTGCTTTGAAATTGCTTTTTGTAGTCTTTTTCCTCACTGGTGTTAGAGCTCGCAATGATTACGATTTACCTAAACAAGTTTCACTTCTGTAAAGAATTCCTCATAATTTCTCCACACGAACGACAGTTATAGACTTATAGTGTTATAACAACTCTCCCTTTATTATATTTTTATGATGTTTAAACCTTTTTTAATAAATTGATATGTTATTCAACTGTATTCTAACGCTATTTTATATTGCAAATATTAAAATAAATAAATCTATTGAGATTTTGTGTGTCAAATGTAAGACTTAAAATAATTAATAATTGAATTAAATACAACCAAATAGTATAATAGCATATAAATGCTTCTTTTTCTTTTTTTCCATTATCAGGCTTATTTTTATTCACTGAAAATTTATTTCAAACGTTAAAATGTTCTTAATTTTTTTAGTAATTGGAAGAGACTATTTTGAAGTGTCCCAATTGATTTTACAAAATTCATATTCGGGACCGTATTTGTAAGCATATTATATAATGCCTAAACTCATGCCAATATGAATTAACCTTGCAAATTAAGAAGAAGAAAAATATGCATTTTTAGCTATGATGTTATTGGCTTTTAAGTGATCATTTCAACTTTTAGGTGTTGCGTGCCTGTTGATTGTTGCTAATTTGTTGTTGTGTTTGGAATTAATTCTCTCTTAAACCCATATGACGTCAATCATGTTTTTTCAACTTGCCTTTCAATGATTTTCACGTATATGTTTTGGAGAATATATTTTACATTATAATTTAATCTCATATATGCATAAAAAAAAAAAAAAAAAATCCACTAAGAAGAAGAGGAAAAAAGTAAATAAGTGAATCTGATCCACTTTTTTATTGGTGAAAAAATCAAAATTGTAAAATTATCTTATACAATATCAAAAATATAAACACCTTTATGTTTTTTATGCACAAAAGTTTAGGCAAAGGATACATTGATCCATTTCAAGGGCATGCCCATAGGCCTCAGTGAGAAAAGCCTTCCATCAAAATAATAATAATGAGCCTCATTGATTTTTTTATGCTTTCTAAGTTAGCATAACTAGAGAATAATTTAAAATGTACATATTATTTGATCTTCACAAAAATTTATGAGTCCACCATCGATCGTTACTATTGCTTGCATCTATCTATAATTAGCAAGCTTCATGTTATAATTAAGGATGTTCAAAAAAATTGGTTCACTTGCTCTGTTCTTGATCTGATCCATAAATATTTATATATTTTTTCTGAAATGAATTTAAATATTGATCCATTTTTATTTGGGTCAATTTTAGACCTTACTTGTTTTAATAATTGACTCAAAATTTGACTCACACCCATTATGTAAAAAAAGAAAACAAAAAATCAATAATCATAACTCGTTTGTCAGTGTTGATAATATATCCCTCAAGCTCTATAACGACCCTGAAACTATTCAATTGGCTTCCATTGACTATGACAATACGGTGCGGGAACTCCCTACAGTAGTGTTTCATCCATCTTCTATGCACGACATAGTGAGGTTGATGAAATGATCACACAATAGCTCTGTCCCTTTCAATATAGCTACGAGGGGCCAATGTCACTCCACTAGAGGACAGACCATGGCACGTGATGAGGTTGTTAAAAAAATTATATTCCTTTATTTATTCAACAAATATCAAATTTATTATATAATTTATATAATATATGTATTTTAAAACAAATAAATAATTAAGTTACATGAGTTTAAAAATTAAATCAATAACTATAAAAAAATAAAAACATATTTTGAAACAAAGTTAAAAACGGATCAGGTCGAATTTGATCTGATTTTGAAACCAAGTTAGATCCACTTCAGAAACCAAGTCAGGTCAGATCTGATCTGGTTTTGAATTAGTTCAAAAAAATTCAAACCAGATCAAACCTAACTTAGATCAAATTAAATAGAATCAGATCAAAATACTTAATCTATAAAAATCAAATTGAATTGGATCGGATCGATATCAAAATTTGAGCTGACGTGACGATGCACACTCCTCCTCCCTCGTATATTGCATTCCCCATTGTGAAATTTCACTTTTAAGCCCCCAAGCCCGTTTTGAGGGTGGATGGGCTAACAATGGATGGGTTAAGCCCAGTTTGGCGCATTGTGATTCATTTAATCAAAGGGTGGAGTAAGCTGCGTGAGGTTGACGTCAAAGGAGGGGATCCTTCAAAACACAAAACTTGATTTGAAACCCTTCTAATATAAAACCCTCGCTTGCTCGCTCACTCACCCTCCCTCATTCCTATTCTCTCTTTGTTCTTCTTCTCCTCAACGCCAAAACAACCATGGTACGCTCTCTCTGATTGACACTTTGCTTTTTAGTTTTCTTTCAGCATTCAATTTAATATTTGAGATCTTTTTGTGGTTCAGGCTTTGCCCAATCAGCCAACCGTTGATTATCCTAGTTTTAAGCTCGTACTCGTCGGTGATGGTGGAACGGGTCAGTTTTTCTCCTCTCTTTTTATTTTATTTTATTATTTCATCATGATTTTCATCTCGAGTAATTTTTTCTGAAATTAAAACGGAGATTCACTCAACTTTTCAAAAAAGGATTATGCCCCTAAAATTTTGTTGCTTGGTATTTCGTTCTTTTCATGACGATCTGTGTTGGAGCTTGATGGTCGTGTTGTATCGCCTTATAACATTTGGATATCGACCTTATTGTACTTAACATACATTTGCAGGAAAGACAACCTTCGTGAAAAGGCATCTTACTGGGGAATTCGAGAAGAGATATGAACGTAAGATTGATTTATAATTATTGATGCACATGTACATCTTCATCTTGATCCTTTGTTTGAATTGTTTGTTCTTGTCGTTTTGCACAAAACAGCAACCATTGGTGTGGAAGTCCACCCACTGGATTTTTTCACTAACTGTGGCAAAATTCGCTTCTACTGCTGGGATACTGCTGGACAAGAGAAGTTTGGTGGCCTCAGAGATGGATATTAGTAAGTAATTTGTAGGAGTGAGCCCATTTTACTATTGTGAAAATTT